CCCCCCCTCCCCCGTGGGACCTGGTGGAGCCACGTGGGGGTGACGATGGCGATGCCGCGCGCCACCGCACACAGGAACTTGACGGTGCGGCGCACGCGGTCGGTCACCAGGTGGGTGCAGTCGAAGACGGAGGCGGCCATGGACCCCCCCAGCGCCCCCAGGGCCGCCTCCATCTCGGGGGAAGCCACCACTCCTGTGAACAGCACCTGGGGACATGGGGGGGGGGATGGGGGACACGGGTCAGGGCCGGGCCTGAGGGGCAAATGGCTTCCAGGGGTGGGGGGACACGTTGGGGACATTCAGCTGGGGGGGGGGGGGTGGACGGAAAAGGGACGCCGGGGGGACAGAGGGACACTGTGGGGGGACAGACGGGGGGACGCTGGGGTCGAACCTTGGGGCAGGAGGAGGCGGAGCTTCCCCGGGGGCGGAGCTGGGGCCGGGTGATGTCAGCTGGCTCCTCCTCCTCCTGGGGGCGGGATCACGCCGTGAGGACACGCCCCCTTCCCCGCGAGCCCCACCCCCATGGAGCCCCACCCTTCAATCCCACCAATCAGCGACCAGGATCCATGCAGAAAGCCCAGCCCATGGTGCGCTGACCACGCCCATCGACATTTGGCCCCACCCCTTCCCCCCACTTCCACTAATCAACAGTTAGCTCCACCCAATCGCTGCACGCCCCGCCCACCAGCCATAGCCCACGTGACTCAGGCCCCGCCCCCAGCCACACCCACCCGTGCTTTCTTCTGAGAGGGGGCGTGGCCTCCCCTCCGGGGGCGGGGCGCAGGCGGTGGTGGGCGGGGCTCATCCTGGCCACGCCCCCTCTTTTGCTCCGCTGGAATTGGCCGGGCCAGGAGGCGGGGGCTGCGGCGCAAGGGGGTGGGGTCTGTCGTTGCCCCGCCCCCTGCCGCCTTAGCCCCGCCTCCTTCCCGACTGGCTCCGCCCCCACGGCTGCGGGTTTGGCGCTGGCTGCGGCGCGGCCCCTCCCCCACCTGCGGGATTGAGGGGGGGTCGGTGAGTGTGGGACCCCCAGGGGAGGGGTCACCCCATGGACCCCCAGTGCTCTGCGTCCCCCAGGGGCTCAGCCCCACTCACGTCCTTGCTGGGCGCTGTGAAGGTCCCCAAATCGTCCTGGGCCGGCGTCACCGTGGGGACACGCGAGGCCACGCGGCGCTGGGGGGGCTCCTCTTCCTCCTTCTCCTCCTCCTCCTCGGGGTGGTAGAAGCACTGCGTCGGCTCCTCGGGGTCCCAAGCTGGGGTCGGGTCTGGGGGACAGCCGCCTTGGGGACAGGGAGAGTGACGTGGGGGCTTGGGGAGGTGACACGGGGGTCCTGGGGGGGGGGGGCCCCGCGGGGGGCCCGGGCCCCCTACCTTGGGGGGGGGGTGGCAGGAAGTTCTGCGTGGGGGGCAGGAAGTTCTGCGTGGAGGCGAGGAAGAGGTCCGGGTCATCTGGTGGGAAAGGGAAGAGCCCTGAGGAGGGGGTCCAGAGCCAAAGTGGGGACACGGGTGACCGAGGAAGGGGGGCATGGTGACAAGGAGGGGGGAGCCAGGTGAGCAGGGAGGGGGATGAAGGTGTCTGGAAAGGGGCCGGGGTGACAAAGTGGGGTCCCAGGTGACCATGGAAGGGACCCAAGGGACACAGATGGCACCCAGGGGACCAGGGAGGAGAATGAAGGTGTCTGGAAGGGGACCGAGGTGACCAAGGAGGGAACCAAACCGAGCAGCGCCACCCCGCTCACCCTCAGCCTCGGTGTCGCCCTCCGTCACATCCGTGTCCCCATTGGGATGATGCTGCCCAGCACCAGCGAGGCCCAAATTTGGGGCTGGATCCGGAGATTTTGGGGCCGGAGCCGCAGCCGCCTCACTGCCCGTCGTCGAGGCGTCCCTGCTGGGTGTCTGCGCCCCGTCGCTGCCTTTGGGGCTCTCCGTGTCGGTTTGTGGGGCTGAATTGTGCCGCTGGGGGGCGGCTCCTCCCACACCTCCAGCCCCGCACGCTTCTGGGGCCAAACTCTGCCTTTCTGGGGTCGATTTCCCGCATTTTGGGTTCATCTGCCCCACGTCGGCACCGCCGCTCGTCGCCCTGCTCCCAACATTGGGATTTCGGGGTCGGATTCGGCTCCGGAGGCTCCGAATGTGGGGAGTGGGAGCCACCTCCTCCCCATCGGTGTCACTGCCACCCCCAGGGCTCACGGCAGGGGGAACAGCTGGATTCGGGGCGGCCAACGCCACATCTGGAGCAGCATCTGGAGCAGCATCTGGAGCAGAGGCGGCCACAGCATCCGAATTGATGAATCCCTGCGTTGCCTCGTGGGTTTGGGGGGCTTCGACGCCACCGAGGTCCTCCACGTCGGTGTCACTGTCACCATTCAGGGCAACAACATCTGGGTTTGGGGTCTCCGTCACCACAGCTGGATCCTGCGGGGCGATCTGGGGCGTTTTGGGGTTTTCCGGGGGAGGAACATCTGGATTCAGCTCTTCAACATCTGTGTCACTGCCCACC